CGTGCTTGGTAAGAAGAGTCTGGTTTCTCGTCTGCTATGCAAGCCAAATGGACTTTAATGTCCTTTGAATTGAACCCGCCTTAGCTCTTTGGAAAGAGATAGAGTGGGTACTTGGGAATTAGAGGGTAATACTTTGTGCAATTTATTAGAGCCCATACCTGCCTTCAGAGATACACTTCTTTCAGTGACCAGATACTGCCAAATTGATGTGTTCTTGTTTTCCAGGTGAGCTGTAGACTCTAAGAAGGGTCTACAGCCAGGCACTGTGGCTCAGGCCTATACTTAGGGAAATTGAGGTGGGTGGATCGCTTGAGCCCAGGAGTTTGAGACCAGCCTGGGCAACATAATGAAACTCTGTCTCTATAAAAAATACAAAAATTAGCTGGGTGTGGTGGTGCACACCTGTAATCTCAGCTACTTGGGAGGTTGAGATGGGAGGATCACTTGAGCCCAGCAGGTCGAGGCTGTGATGGGCCATGATTGTGCCGCTGCACTCCAGCCTGGGTGATAGAGGGAGACGCTGTCTCCAAAAAAAAAAAAAAAAAAAAGAAAAAGGTCTGCCCACAAAGTCACCAGCTTATGATTTGCTTGACTCTGCGTCTGCTTGTCTACCTAGCATAGGGCAGGTGGTACTTTGGGCCAAAGGTCCGAAGGCATTTTGCATGCCTAGGGGAAATCGTGGCTGTTTTTCTGAGCCAGATCTCTTTATTTGGGTTTAAATGGAGTCCTTTCATGGACCATCCTGAATATTGTCAGTCAGAAGTCTTGGGGCATAAGAACTTGTCTGAATCCATCATACCACTGCTGTCTTCCAAGCGGTAGTACAAGAAAGAGTTTGTGGTGTGTGTGTTCTAAGAGAAATGCCAAGGCTTCAAGATAAAGGTAAGATGGTAATGATTGGCTTTGTTCTGCTCTTTTGTTTGGGTGAAAAGGAAAAGTTGAGGGGTCAGAAGACAGTAGCCTGATTAGTGCCATTCTGTTTTATCACACAGTTCCCATTAAGTTGTGCCAGTTCTCCTCTCCCCAGGAATGTAGAGCCAAAATGTCACTGTGACCAAACAATGTGTTACTTTCTCTTCTCAATGGAGAGGTGATTGTGGGGCCTGGTTGTTTCTCCAGGAGTGTAAGGGGCAGCTCTGTGGCATCAGTCTTGCTGCCCATCTCTAGAGGTGGGCTCCCAGCGCCCCTGTGGCTGTGCTCTGTGCTGAGCCACATTGCCGGCAGCCTTGGAGTTGCTGCTCCTGCTCTTCTTGCTCCTGTGTCTTCACCTAGTTGGTAGAATCTCTATTTTTAGATTAATAAAGTTTCTTAGGGTTTTATTTCTTTTGAAAGATGCCACCCAGTCATTGTGATAAATGGAGGTAAGAGCTTGTAATACAAAGCTGCAGCCTGCCAGTCCTCACTTTTAAAAATTTATTTATTTATTTAAACGATTTGCAAATCAGGGAGACTTTGAAAAAATTTGCTAGTATGTAACAGTGGTGCTTGAATTGTCTCAACACTTTCATTAAGAGTTCCCCCAGCCCAGTGCGGTGGCTCACGCCTGTAATCCCAACACTTTGGGAGGCCGAGGCGGGTGGATCACGGGGTCAGGAGATTGAGACCATCCTGGCCAACATGGTGAAACCCCATCTCTACTAAATTACAAAAAAATAGCTGGGTGTGGTGGTGCATGTCTGTAGTCCCAGCTACTCAGGAAACAGAGGCAGGAGGATTGCTTGAACCTGGGAGGCAGCGGTTGCAGTGAGCCAAGATTGTGCCACTGCACTCCAGCCTGGGCAACAGGCCAAGACTCTGTCCAAAAAAGAAAAAAAAGGAGTTCCCCAAACAAACTTGAAATGTAATAATTGGTTAGAGGTCAGAATTCTCCTCTCATATCGCCTCAGCCCCCGCAGTGTGGCTGTCGATCACCCTGGACTCGGAATCAGCATAGGCTGAGCCTGCGTGTCTGCCTGTGTTCTCTTTACCCTCAGTCCCTGGTCTGAGGGAAAGGCTGCAATGGAGGAAGTGCCAGTCTGGGGAGGCTCTTCTGCTGGAAACACACATCCGAAGTTTCTCTTCTCCCTCAGTGATACCTTTATTGTGAAATTCCAAACTCTGGTCTCTACATTGAGGCTGTTTCACCACTATTGTGTGTAGCAATACAAAAAATTGCAAAGGTTAGGAGAACGGGTGCCAGCCCCCTAATTAAATACCTGTGAATATTTCTGCCCCTCGTACCTTGACCTTCAAGCAATGGAAAACTTTTGTCTTTTCTTCAAACCTTTGATTAGAGCTATAGGCTGTGCTCTATCCTTGGAATGACCGAAGGTTGCCATGTTACCTGCCTGTGTCCTCTGGCCTCATCCTTGTGAGTATGTAAGTGTCATTGACATCAGCTCCAGGAGTCCCGAACTTCCCATTAGCAGCCCGTCCCTGAAGCTAACCTGTACTGAGGCTCTGCTGTTTGTTCCCAGCTCACTCCATGCACCTCACCCATCTGTCCTTCCACCTCCTGGCACAGCTCCATGTGCCTCCTGTATCCTCACTCTAGTTCGTTCTGGTGGATTTGGTCAGGGCTGGGCTCACATCAGGTGTGAAACTCCTGCTCCTGCCGGTCTCCATGGCTAACCTCCATCTGGCATGCTGTCCTGGGTGTTGTCATTCTTAGCGATTGTCTATCAGGGATCCAGCGTTCCTTTTTCTAGTCTAGTTCCACTGTCAGGGAGCAAACCTCAGGTCATGAGGGCCGAGCAAGATGGACTGCGTTGACATGGGCCCCATGCAGTTCATGACAGTGGGGGTGCCGATGGGCTTCTCTTTCCTGCTCCTCAACATGCCACCTGTGGCCAAGGAGTGGACTGCCCCTGAGTGTGCCAGGTCCTTCTAGGGGTCACTGTGGCCTAGTGTCACTGCAAGGCTTAGCCTCAGCTGTGGCCACCACCCCAGTATCGAACTTCCAGCTCTGTAAGCCACAAAGAACGCAGACCGCTTCAGACATCAGGCACCCGGCTGTCAGGCTGGATGGATAGCAGAGGTTATTTTGTCCAGTGAGTCTCATGTTTGGCTCACATTAGAATAGCGTAGAAGCGTAGTCCCCCCCACAACTTTATTTTGAGAAATTTCAAGCCCACAAAAAACGTTGAAAGAGTGCAGTGATTTCCCCCCACCCCAAATTTTGTCTCATGTGCTTTCTCGTTTTTCAAAATTATTAAAAGAAATTTGCTGGTTTTTTTAAAAATAGTAAATTATAGACATGGCACGCTTCACCTTTTTAATACTTCAGCTTGTATCACCTAAGAATAAGGACATTCCCCAATAATTCCAAAATATCACATCTAAGAAAATTACTGGAATCAATATCATCTAATAAACAGTGCCTATTAAAATTTGCCTGGGCATTCCAAAATGTCATTTAAACAGTTTTTTTTCCTCCTAAATGTAGGTTTCAATCAAGGTTCATATTGTTATAACTAGTCTCAATCTACAATAACCTGCCTCAAAAAATAAATTCTCCAACTGTTCTTGAGGTTTTGATTCTATAGATTTGATGTGAGGCTGGAATCAGCATTTTCTTTTCTTTTTTTTGAGAGTCTTGCTCTGTCACCCAGGCTGGAGTGCAGTGACGTGATCTTGGCTCACTGCCACCTGTGCCACCTGGCCTCAAGCAATTCTCCTGTCTTAGCCTCCTGAGTAGCTGAGACTACAGGTGTGTGCCACCACATCTGGATAACTTTTATAGTTTTAGTAGAGATGGGGTTTCACCATGTTGGCCAGGTTGGTCTTGAACTGGCCTCAAGTAATTTGCCCACCTCGGCCTCCCAAGGTGCTGGGATCAGGCGTGAGCCACTGCACCCAGCCTGGAATGTGTATTTTCTAGACGGTCAACACTAGTAATTCTACTGATCAACCAGGGTTTGGAGCCAGACTGGCCTTTACTATACCTCCACCCTCTCCCAGTACATACAGCCACTGGACAGGAGTCCTTTGTCAGATAAGTGGTCTTCGAGCTTCCAAGTATCTCTAAGGGAGTATGTTCTCCTATCCCTTTGGGGCCCTACGATGCAATTTTCTTTATAGTAGATCTTCGTAAGATGAAGTTGAAACCTTCCCTTGTAATTCCTACCCATCAATGACAGGCCCAAACTGCCATTCCAGGCCACGCAAAACTGGCTGGCACCTCCTTTCACCTGAGAGTCCTTCTGAGATATTCAGCTTATAAGGACACGTGGCATCTCATTTCGCGTTCAGGTGCTCATGAATTTCAGACCTTTCACCATCGTGATTTTATATGGCTTCATGATGTGGCAAGGCATTCAGGACGCAGTGATAGCAGTCCTTAATTGAGTCCAGGAGACTGGCCGCTTTTCTCAGGGACACTCCACTTTTCACACCGTATTCCATTGATTCCTGTGAAACTCGGTCCGACTAACTGCCTCCAGTCTTTTCACATGATAGATCTGCTGTCAGATCACTTTCCCATTATGCACTTACATAGCCGATTTTTGGAGCACAAATGTGAGATTTTATGTATGCCCAACTGTTAAGATTTCATCTTGTTACAGTTTCTACCCGTCTTCAAGTGAGTTCATATTCTTGATGATCCTGATTTGGCCATCTGACATGTTGGCTATGCATCCCAGCTTTGAGATAGCAGATTGGATAAACAAGCCTTCAATGTGTTTGTTAAAAACATTGAACAAGACAGAGCCACGGAAGATCCCTTTGGTAAAAAACTCATTTTACATGGCAACCCACTTCATATGCCCAGCAAGTTTCATGTGATCATGTGCTCTGATATTTTCTATTAACTTCATTTCTGTTTCTTTGTTTATTTATTTATAGAGACAGGGTATCACTTTGTCACCCAAGCTGGAGTGCAGTAGTGTGATGGCAGTTCACGCTAACCTTCAACTCCTGAGCTCAAGTGATCCTCCTGCCTCAGCCTCCTGAGTAGCTAGGACTACAGGCATGTACCAGCATGCCTGCCTAATTAAAATTTTTTTTTCTGAAGATGAGTTCTTGCTCTGTTGCCCGGGCTGGTCTTGAACTCCTGGCCTCAAGCAATCCTTTACCTTTGGCCTACCTCAGTGCTGGGATTTTGGGCTTGAGCCAAGTTGCTCAGCCCATTTCTGTTTCTTTAGAAAGAAAAACACGGAACTGATTGCCCTGTGCAGAAGTGGGTCTCCATCACGATTTGCCTGTGAGTCACGCTGGGAGAGGGAGAGCACCTGCTGCATCTCTGGGTCCACATGGCATGGCTGGGTCAATGCTTTGGACACCAGCAGTGAGTGGGGAGGCTGCTGTGGGGACTTGGGGTCCCGCTTAATCATCTTTCTATTCACCAGTGCAGGGTGATTGAGGACAACTGACTTCATCCTTCTGAATCAGGTTGAGAAGGACCTGCAGCATTGGTTGAGGATTGAATAAGGTAATATATGCAGTTTGGCAAGCTCTTAAATGGTAGCCAGTTACTGTGGATTCTTGAGAATGATTATTGGTGACTGATGAAGGTCATCCTGATCTGAGAGAGTGAAGGACAGAGCCAGACCTCAGTATGGTGTTGACCTCTGGACGGTGGAAATGGTTCAGTCTCTTCCCAAATCCTCAGACTGATGTGTTGTTACCAGCCCTTTGAGCCTATCAGTGCTTTGCAGTTTGCAAAGTGCTTTCCAATCAGAGCTTATGCACGCCACCATTTGAATCGGTGCGATTCATCTCATTTCAGACACAAAGAAACAAACTCTAGGAATTTACCAAGATTTTCCAGCTTCCAATCTAATGTTTACCCTCAACTCCCCCCTCAAGATTGTTGCAGTTATTTTAATTTGCCTTATAATTCGGTCATTCATGCATTTACTCATTTTAGCCCTACAGTGCCCTGCTAACTCTTTAGAGGCAGGCACATAATGGAGTTGACTCTTTTCTGAGGCCCCTGCAGGGTTTTGCAAATACTAAATGTTCAAGAAACGTTTTGCAGTTATGCAACAAGTCAGAAAGGTTGAGCGTATCCTGCTTGAGTCCTAATGTGCTCAGTCACTCGGGGCGGGGGGCATGGGGACACAGAAGGGTAGAGACCTGGGAGCTGCTCGGAGGCTGTGGGCAAGCCTGTGTCTTCAAAGTGCCCTGGAGTTCAGGCATGCTTTTCGAGGGCACCCTGTGTTAGGCTCTGCAGTATGGTCTCTGGTCTGAGGCAGTCACCCTGGTGGGAAGATGGAAGTGTGGAGGTGGCTGTCAGAGTGTGTGTGTTTGACCCTGGGAGAAGCAGAGCTGAAATTAAGTCTTCCACCTGCGTGCAGGTGTGAAGCCCCACCCCCTTACCGACCCCCGAACAGGATCTCAGAATTATTTCCATTCTCTCCCTCCTCCAGCCCCAGATACTCCACAGGCACAGGATGAAATGTCCTAGCTCTGGTGATGCCTGGAGAGAAAGATCTACCCAAATGTCCTCCAAAGCTGAAGGGGTGGGGACAGTGGCAGGCAGTGGCCTTAAGTTTGCTGAGCCTTCCTAGCACCTTTGAGGCCTCGGTGCAAATGGGGCCCATCTGACTCCTTCTTAGACCACCAGAAAGGACGGTGTTCAGGTTCCATCCCCGCACCCGTGAAAGCCCCTGGCTTCCCCGCAAACCTCTTGATTGACGTGCTGTGTGCCCCTACCCTGCCTAGCACTTCAGAGTGAGTCTTTGATCCCTTGCCTCCCATCACCATTCAGACACAGGTGGGGGAGAGCTAATCTGGGGGCAGAGATGAAAGAGCCCTGCCCTGGGGGGTCCTACCCAAGGCAGGCAGAGCCCGGGATGATCCAATGTGATTGTGCTCTCCCTCCCTGCATGAGGCTAAAGTGTGAAGAGACCAGCCCTCCTCAGGATAATGTGCCCCCTCAGTCTTCCTTCACTATGGCCCTTGGGACCCTGCTCTCAGGGGTCCCCCCGCTAAGGCTCAGACTCTTTTGTGTTCTTGTCTGGGGTGAGAGCCTGCCCTCCGGTTCTGGCTCCTCGGTGTCCTTGCCGTAGGATTTCAGGTAAGTGGCAGGTCCTCACTCCCCAGTTTCTCTATCTGTAAAGTGAGGAGCTGGGGCTAGACAGGTGTCCAGAGTCCCTCCCCTTCGGTCCCTTAATTGTCCAGGGCACAACAATCCTTGGAGCAAGGCAGTCTGCTGGGGTGGTTTGTAGAGAAGGCACAGTGGGGCGGGCTGGAGGCCGCAGGGGCAAAGTGGGCCGAGGGCCTCTGAGGAGGTGTGAATGAGGGAGGCAGAGCAGGGCTGGTGTGGACAGCCCTGTCCCAGCCCTATCTCCCGTCTGTGACACCCTCTCCACACCCCGGCGCTGATAAGCAGGTGCGAGCCACGGCCGCCTTGTGACAGGCCCTGCGGCAGGGAGGGTGATGGTGGGGGTCCACTCCACTTCTGAATTCAGACGTCAGCATCTTTTCCCCCCAACCCCCATTGCCCTGTCAGACTAGGCAGGCCCTAGCAAGCAGGCACCGTCACTGACAGCCCCTGGCTGGAGATTTGTTTCTGCTCCACATGACCTCAGCCTTCTCAGAGATGGTAGGAGACAGACCTCCCTCAGTCCTTTCTGGCAAAGTGCCAAGGAGGATGACCGCCTCCCATCCGCACCAGGCCTGTTCCTGCGGTGACTGCTGATGCTGGGGCCTGGCACACACAGTGCTTCTTATCACTGGGCAGACTTCAATGGCTGGTCCTCTTGTCTCCTCTCCTCACCCCATCTCCTCTAGCCCTGTGACCCTCAGCTTCCAGTCTTCCCCCTCCAACTCCCTGGGTTTTGGGCCACTTCTCTGTCTGGGCCCACCTCTTTCCTCTAAGGCTGCTGTTCACCAGAAGGCCCAGCCAGAAACTCCTTATTTCTGGGTTCACTGGGAGGAGAAAAGTCTTGGAGAAAGAGACAGAAACTTGGAGCTCTAAGGAAGGGGAAGGAAAAGACGAATAGGACAAAGCCAGAGGCTATAGGAAGCCCTTCAGGGTGGAGGGTCTCGGTTTGGGTGTCCAGCCCCCTGCACATCAGGCCCCCAGGCTCTATGGCCCTGAACTCTGATCTAAAAGGCTCTCTTCTGTGTTCAGATCTGAAGACTATTTTGATGAGCAGGCTGCAACCGCGCTGCTCCAGGCAGCCCCATTGTGTGTGGTCTGTGGGTGAGGGTGTGCGTGTCCTCCTCTGTGTGATTCCTGTCTATGGCTTCCATTCTCAGCCTCTACCTGGCTTAGGAGGCATCAGAGCGTGCTGAGAGCACATTCTTGAGCCAGGTTGATGGACCTGGGGCCAAATCTCAGCTCTGCCATGTTAACCAGGTCCGGGAGCCCGAGCAAGTGATACAACTGCCCCGTGCCTTGGTTTCCCCATTTGTAAAATGAAAACAATGATGTGAATGATAGATCATACTATATACCTTGTAGAACTGTTGTAAGTACCAAATAAGCCAAAATATGTAACGTGTTTTAAACCATATTGGGTACAATGTAATCGTTGGCCATTAGTAATATTTTTGTAAATTTAATTCCAAACTTGGATACAGAAAAGTTGCAAGAAATTCCCATACACCCTTTATGCAGATTCAGCAATTGTTTATATTTTGCACATTTATTTTATCATTCTCTCTTTTCTCATATATGTGTATGTCTATGATGTACTCTATATTACATAAATATGCATAGTATATATACACATATGCACATGCACACAATTTTTTCAGAATCACGTGAGAATAAGTTGAAGACATCATCCTTTTTTAGCCGTAGCTACTTGTGTGTACTGGTAAGGACAAGGTTATTCTCTTATAAAACCACAGTACAGTTATCAAAATCAGAAAATCTAACATTGATCTAATGCTATTATGGAACCCACAGTCTGTAAGTACATTTCATCAGTTCTCTCATCACATCTTCTTTCTTTCTATTTCTTTTTCCTGTTCTCGGGTCACTCATTGTATTCAGTTTTCATGTCTCTTTCACCTCCTTTAATCTGGGAGAGTTCCTCAGCCTTTCTTTCTGCTTCTTAAATTTGACAGTTTTGAAGAGTGCAGGCCAGTGATTTGAAGAGTAATGTTGCTGAAATTCTGTTGGATGTGTCCTCACTGTTACTTTCAGGTGACACGCTTTGGGCATGATTACTCTGAAGGTGACGCTGCATCTTTCTACAGCCTTGCCTCAGAAGGCCCACTATGTCAGCTTTTCCATTTGTTAGAGATATAATTTTTGACCACTTAGCTTAAGTGGTGTCTGTTAAGTCCCCCCTCCTGTAGAATTACCATTTTCTCTTTCTAATTAATAAGTAATTGTGGGGAGATAGTTTGAGACTATATTGCTCATCAAACTTCTACCCACTAGTTTTTGCCCACTAATCATTTTTTACACCATCATTACTTCTAAGCTTACGAGATGGCCCATTCATACTGGCTCCTGTCTCTTCCGACATTTATCTTCATCAGTCTTGGAGCGCTTTTGTGCTTTCTGGCACAATAACATGTTCCAGGTTTTCGGATATTTTCCTGGCTCTAGCCCGGAATCAGCCATTTCACCCAGGAGCCCTGGTTCCTTTTAACAGAGAATGATGATATTTAGAAACCAAGATTTGGGTGCTGTGTGTGCTCATGGGTACTGCTGTGTTATTGCTTCCGGTTGGCCCTTTTTATCAACCGTTCGCTTGGATGCGATGGTGAGGCCGCCACTGAAGGATGTGTGGCTTAGGGATGGAAAGGGGAAAGGAGCCAGATGACCTAGGTAGAGACTCCCCTCTCCCCTTCTAGCTGTCCAGACCTTTCCCACCTTCTCTTTCCACCCTTTCTCTATTCATCATGACCTCATTTCCCTTTTCTTCATCAAAATTCCTCTGGAGATTCCAGCTGTGGGAACCTCTGAAACCATCTCTACAGCGACCCATGTGATACCAGAGGCAGGCAACTATGTGACCTTTGTGTGTGAACAGCCAAAGGCAAAGATAATTTATGAAAAAATTTTGCTGAGAACAATCCGGTGACAAGGTGATTGGGGAAGACACATTTGGAAGATTTCCACCTGGACGTGTTCCTTTTCCCTGCCTGAGAAGCACTCAGAGCAGAGCCTGTGTGGAGGCTGGGATAGGGTGCCGTGGGAGGTCCATTCTCAGATAAGCCTCTTCAAGGCTCTGGGGACCAGTGAGGAGGATTTAAATGCCTGGTGAAGTCCACTTTCTGTGCCCACAAGTCACAGGGACAGTTTAAAATGAAATAACTGGAATTCAGTGAAAGCCACTTAAATAGCCTTCTTAGTTATGCAAATGTAGGGTGATGGCCTTGGTCCCCCACTTGGAGTTAGTTTATTGTTTTGAGACTAGATCCAAAGCCTCCTCTCCCTGAGATCTCTGGTATGCAAAGCTGGTTCCTGGAGGGAGCGCATCAGTTGACATAGGGAGCCCAGAACCTCTGCGAGGGAAGAAA